GTTGTGCTCGTACTCCATGATGAGGGTGTGGATGTAGGGCCCCTCCACCAGCTCTGTGCCGTTGAAGAGCCAGCGGACGCTGGGGACGGGGTTGCCATCCACGGAGAAGGGGATGCACCAGGAATGCCGGGGGATGGCCGTGTCCAGCAGCAGAATCACGGGGGGAACTGGCAGAGACAGAGCTGGGTGGGTTCCTGAGGCAGACCCCCTGCCCAGCACCCAGCCCAGCCCCTTCTGTACTCCTCACAGGTGACGTTCAGCATCACACTGTCCTCTGCCAGCCCCGCCGTGTTCTCTGCCCGGCACACCAAGTCCTTGTGGTTGAGGTGGGAGGAGACATTGTTGATCTCCAGGACGATCTCCCAGTCTGAGAGCTGCAGGGAACACCAGGATGGGATGAGCAGATGCCACCCCCCAAGCCTGGCCAGCCCCTGCATCCCCCTGTTCCCACCCAGCAGTGAGAGGATGCTGGGGGGGGTCAGCGCTGCTGGGCCATCCCCCTGGAAGGCTGAGCTTGCCTTGGTGACAGCGAGCAGCTCGGGTCCCACCTCGGGGACCACCTCGGGGACCACCCACTCCGCGGTGGCCGGTGGGTTGGCGCTGATGTGGCAGGTGAGGTTGACACTGTCCCCTTGGCGCAGCACCGCCTCGGGGGGCTCGATGTGGATGCTCGGGGGGTCTGCAGGGGCAGGGAGGCCGAGCCACGTGTGTCCCTGTGTCCCTGCCATCCCCAGCCAAACGGCTCAGGACAGGGGGCAAACGCAGGGGCCAAAGCCATCGCCAGGCACGTACCACAGGCGTGGAGAACCTGGCTGCCCAGGGGCACGGGCATGCTGCCCTCCCAGCAGAGCAGGGACTGGTTCCCCAGCTCGGCCCGGCTGCTGTTGTGCCACAGCTGCAGCCAGCGCAGGCCACAGGAGCAGTTGAAGGGATTTCCCACCAAGATGCTGAGATGGAGCAGGGAAGAGAACACAGGATCAAAAGGACTCCATGCCACACACGTTTGTGTATGTCCCAGCAGAGTCGGCCAAGGCTGCACCTGGGCACCCCCAGCCTCCAGCTTTGTGTCACACATGCCCCATGTGCCACCCCCATCTCTGTCCCCACACCCATGGACGTGAGAGCCACCATCTCACTGCACCCCCAGCTCTGCCTCTGTGTCACTTGAGGGGTACATCCCCAGTGGGAGATGCTCTGCACCCACCTCCCCCCTCTCTCTCATCACTCACAGCTCTTGCAGGGGCAGGTGCCAGAAGGTTTTCCAGGAAAGGCTTTGCAGTGCATTGGAGGAGAGATTCCTGTTGGGACAGCCCCCATCAGCCGCCCCTTCCCACTCAAACTCCCATCCAACACCCGCAGAGGCTCTGGTGGCAGCACCGGGGCTGTCACACCGTGACCAAGCAAAACCGGCTCTGCCAGGCGTGCCACCAGCCCCACACCCCAGAACAGGGTCCCCCCATTCTCGGGGGGCAGCACAGGGCTCCCAGGGGGGGCCGGGATCGATGCCCAGATCGATGGTTTCCCACTCAGCAGCAGAGCCCTGCGTGCCCCCTCCCCGGCCGGGCTGATGTGCCCGCGGGCAGCGGGACAGCATCGATCCCGCCCGGGCACGGGGACCGGCCACCCTGCAGCGGGGACAGCGCCCGGGGGCCGGGGGGGCTCATCCCCGAACGAGGGGAGGGGAGTGGGGAAGGGGAGACTCACACGTGGCTCAGCCTGGGGGTGTCCAGGAAGGCATCGGCAGAGATGTGCTGCAGCCCCGACCTGGAGATGGTGCTGAAAGGAGGGAAGGGCTGAGCACTGCGCCGTGAGTCCTGAACCTCCGCTCTGGGAGCTTCCCCTGTGGCTGCTTGCAGTGGGATTGAGCTCTGGGGATCCCCCCCTCCACCACAGCCCTTCGCTCTCCCCATTTCTCTGTGCAGGGACCCCACCCCTGGGGTGCTCACAGGTTCCGGAGGTCCCGCAGCATCCTGGTGTCAGCTCGGGTCAAGGTCGTGAGCTCCGGCTGGTTCTCAATGACGCTGGAAGGCAAAGGAGGGGGGTCAGGGGAGCAGCCCACGACCCCTCACGAGGGGTGTGAGAGCCCTCCCACTCCCCAGGCTGTGGTCACAGCCGGGGATGGGGACAAGGATGGAGCTGAGCCGCCCCACTGTGCCTCAGTTTCCCCTGGGATGAGCTGGGAAGAAGGGGGGATGGCAGCAGGTGATCCCGATGGTGCCGAGCCCCTGGTCAGTGTGAACTCTGTGGGGTCAGGGCTGAGTCACCACTTGGAGCCCACACAGAATAAGTTTGCTGGGTGTCAGCCCCATTCAGCCTTTGGGTCCCCACCTTTTCTCGCACCCCAGTGTGTCCTGCACTGTGACAGGGACACCTCTGTCACTGTCCCTGCACCCTTTTCTCCAGGCAGGAGATGAAGAAAAGCCCCTTTGGGAGCAGGTGCAGGGATTTTCCCTGCCTCACCCCACTCCTGTGAACCCCAAATCACAGGGGCTGGATAATTTGGGTTCAGACCCACACCATGGGGGGTTTGGTCTTTCTGACCCTGGTGAGGATGGGACGAGAGCAGCTGGGGCAGTGGGATGGCTGGGGGTCTCTCTGGGACACCATCCCCACCACCAGCCACCCCACCCCACCCCACCAGCCAGCGAACAAAGAGCTGGCAGCGCCTGTGGCGCAGCATCCCCTGCCACGTGGGGAAACTGAGGCACGGGGACACCGCAGCCAGGCCCCAGCAATGCGGCACAGGCAGGGCTGCGGGGTGGGGGGAAACCCCAGAAACTGGGGCACTTTGGTGTCCTGCAGCACCCCGTCACCCTGCCCCCCAGCACCCTCCTATCTCTGCTCGCTCAGGCCCTTGTCTCCCCACCACACATCCTGCAGCAGGGGAAGGAGTGGGAGCAGAGCAGATGCCCCAAAGCAGCAAAGCTGGGGTGTGTCCCCCCTGCATGCCAACCCACAGGTCCCAGGACACAGCGACAGCCCCAACAGGATGGGGACAAGCGGCTGCCCACAGCCCTGCCCTCCCTGAATGGGCGCTCCCTGCCCGGGGTCCCTGCTGCATCCTCAGCGTGTTGCCGCCGCTGGCATCGCCGCAGGAGGGGGTGAAGAGCTGCCCCCAGCCCCTCGCTTGCTCCCTGGGGGGATGCTGCACCCCCCCACCCCATTTTGCAGCCCCCAGTGCCTCCCACCGAGCAGGCGCTCTCCTCACAGCGACCCCAGCCCATCCAGCGATCCCTGCTCCAGCCCAGCCCGGCCATCCTGCCCCCGAGCTAATCACCTCCGTCCCCATCACCGCCCAGCCCTCCAGCTCTGCTGTCCCCAGCCACAACCACCACCATCCCATCGCTCCCACCCCTTCTGCCTGCTCCCCAAAATCCGTCACTCCCAACCCCATCAGCTCCGTCCCCGAGCTCTGTCACCGCCAACTCCATCGCTGCACCAGCCTCATCACTGCATCCCTCAGCACCGTCACCCCCAGCCCCTCCGCCTGCTCCCCGAGCCCCGTCACCCCAGCTCCTCTGCCTGCTCCCCGAGCTCTGTCACCCCCAGCCTCGTCACCCCCATCTCCTCTGCCTGCTCCCTGAGCTCCAGCACCCCGACCCCCGGCCCCACTCACACGTCGGTGAAGCTGCCGCTTCCCAGCAGCGAGGCCAGGCTGCTCACGGTGTCGGGCTCCCGGCAGAGCAATATCCCGGCCCCGGGGCAGCGGCAGGACCGGGGGCAGGCACCGGCAGCGCCCGGGGCTGGCAGGGACAGCGGCAGGAGCAGCACGGCCAGGCACAGCCAGGCGAGCAGCGGCGGCATCGCGGGGCCGGTCCCGGTGCCGGTCCCGGGGCCGGTCCTGGTCCCGGTGCCGGTCCTGGACCCGGTGCCGGTGCTGCCGGTGCCGCCAGTGCCGCCCTCCCTCGCACTTGCCCGGCAGCCCGAGCACGGGGCCGTGCGGGGCTTAAAAGCAACGCACGGACCGGCCTCCCGGGAGGGGCCGGCGGCTCCCCCCGCCCCGGCACCGCCCCCGCCCCGGCCCCAGACACCCCCAGCCGTGATTCACCGGCATCGGGAAGGCTCCGACCCGGGACAGGGGGATTCCTCACACTGGCACCGACCATGGAGCCCGTCTGTGCCCTGCCCGTGCCCTGCCCGTGCCCTGCCGCCACCCTCCCTGCATGCTGGCACCATACACCGGCACCCCCAGCCCCACCAAGCGGATCCATCCCACCAGTGGAACCCCCAAAATTCCCAGGGCACACCCGTGTACACACAGCCACCACACCCGCTCCAGCACCTGGCTCAGGGCGGGCTGCAGTATAAGGGACAGAGCTTGTCACCAGCCCACGGGCCACCTACAGTCCCCCAAGCTGTCACACCCCCCCGACGGTGCCCCCAAATCTCGAGGCGTGATGGTCTCGCCTGGATGAAGCTCTTCCCCAGCACCCCGTTATGTCGGGGAGCAGAGATGCTGGAGACCGAGGGACGTTTGGTGGCACAGTGACCATGTCCCCAACTGTCCCCTCCCACCAGGACCCACCTCGCCCTCCTCCCCGAGGTGGGGCAGGACGGGACAGGGCTCCCCATCCCCACCAGGACGCTGTTTTGTCCCCGAGCTTGCTCGGAAGCACGTCGGGGGGTGGCTCATCCCAGCGCTGAGCCCGCACCCTTCCCCCCATGGCTCATCTCCACCGCCAGCGCCCAGCGGCACCCACGGGGCCTCGATTCCTTTGGGGTCACCTCCCGTGGGGCCCCACTGGACACCCCAGCACCCCCCCCCTCCCCTCCCGGCAGAGCGGGCCAGCGGCTGTCGCCACATCCTCCTAAATTCCACTGCTTTGACGTTTTTCTCTAGAAACGCCCCCGGTTTGGGCACCGCAGGGCAAAGCCACAGGACGCAGATAGGGCTGGGGGGGTGGGGAGTGGGAAGCCCCTTGTGCCGCCCCCCCCCCCGCGACCCCCCCCCAAACCAGGCACTGCCAGAGCTGAGCTTCGTCCCCTTTATTCGCGCTCAGATTAGGCAGTGACGCCCCTTCCGTGGACCAGCACGGCCTCTGGGAAGAGACATCAGGGCACCCCAGGCTTCTCTGAGACCCGTGACTCAGTTTCCCCACCCGGGAAAGGTGTGGGGATCACAGGGGTCGCTGACCTGGGGAGCGATGACAGGGGCAGGTTGATGGGGGACCCCAAATGCCAAACCCTGCTACCCATTCCCATACCCACCTTATCCCACCCCCCCAAAAAAAGTAAGGAAAAATGCGTGTTCTCCTCCCAAGCAGCAGCCCCCCACTCCCTCCCCCCATCTCGGAGCACCCCCAATTTATTTTCAGGGGAAATGCATCCCACGGACCATCCTTGCCTTGCTGCCACCCTCCTCCCAAGGCACCCACTCCTCGGCTGGGCCCTCAGAAGCAATAAATAATGCGGGGGGCTCCCAGCAAGTGGGGGGTGGCTGGAGAGGGGCGTGGGGTGCAGAGTCCAGCAGGGGTCCGAGGACACCCCGGGGTCAGAGCGAGGCTGTCCCGTTGGGGAGCTGCCCTGGGCTGTGGTCCCTGCGTGCGGGCAGGGGGGATGCGGGGGGCTCATCCTCCTCGGGGGATGGATCTGTCTCGGTGCTGGAGGGCTCTCCCGAGCCGTGATGGCCGTTCTCGGGGCTGTAGAAGAAGGAGAGGGTGCGGAAAGCAGGCGCCATGTGGTCCTTGATGCGCTCCAGGAGCTGCACGAAGGAGGGGCGCTGGCGTGGGTTCTGCTGCCAGCACAGGCACATCAGCTCGTGGCTGCGGAGAGAGGGCACCCGCTGGCTTTGGGGGGCTCCTAACAGCCCTCCCAGCACTGCAGAGAGCACGATTTCCCCTGGCAGCCTCTCCCACAGCAGGGTGGGGGTGTGAGGGGCTGTCCCCAGCACTCACAGCTCGTCGGGGCAGTTCTCGGGCCGCTCCAGGATGCCGTTGTCCATGACAAAGCGCAGGACCTGCTCGTTGGACATGCCCTGGTAGGGCTGCTCGGCCAGCGTGGCGATCTCCCACAGCACCACCCCGAAGGACCTGCCAGGGCACCGCTGCTCAGCCGGGGGATCCCCAGATGCCCCCGGCTCTGCCCACCCCAGCACCCACCAGACGTCAGACTGCGTGTTGAAGATGCCGTCCTTGAGCGCCTCGGGGGACATCCAGCGCACGGGGAGCAGCCCCTTGCCCCCTTTCCGGTAATAATCCGTCTCATAGATATCCCGGGTCATGCCGAAATCTGGCGGAGGAGGAAGAGGAGGAGGAAGGTGTGGGCAGCAGGAGACAGGGCTGGCACCACCACTGCCCACCCACTGTTGCCCTTTGCTGACCCAGGGATGGGGCAACTGAGAGGTGTTTTAAAAACTTGGATTCTATTTTCAGTCTCATGAGAAGGGTGAGACAATACAGATGTTATAATTCATGCCATTACAATCAGAAGCTAATGATTTCTTAATTACAATATACTATAAGTGTTTCTTGGCCTATCAGCTTTAGCTACACTATGTTGTAAATGCCTTACAGTAATCATCTAAAATTACTTTGTGGGTCCTGCTACAATGCATCTTTCATAGTTCTATTTCTCTAAAGTATCTAGTCTTATTTGTAAGGCTATCTTTTGCAACTTGTTTCTAGTTCAATTTTTCTCTCAACAATGTCTGTCTTATGGTATTTCTAAGGTAGTATCTTATCTCAAGGTTTGTATACAGATGCACACGATGTGAGTCTTCTCACAGAATTCACAGAATCACTGGGTTGGAAGAGACCTTCAAGATCATCGAGTCCAACCCAGCCCCAAGACCTCAACTAAACCCTGGCACCCAGTGCCACAACCAGGCTTTGTTAAACACATCAGGGATGGTGACTCCACCACCTCCCCAGGCAGCCATTCCAGAACTTTATCACTCTTTACATGAAAAACTCTTTCCTAATATCCAACCCTTGGTGAAGCTTAAGGCTGTGTCCTCTGGTTCTGTCAGTTCCTGGAGAAAGAGCCCAACCCCACCTGACTACAACCACCATCCAGGAAGTTGTAGAGTGATGAGGGCACCCCTGAGTCTCCTTTTCTCCAGGCTAAACACCCCCAGCAGCCTCAGTGGTTCCTCTCAGGGTTTGTGTTCCCAGCCCCTCTCCAGCCTCGTTGCCTCCTCTGGACGTGCTCAAGCATCCCCACATCCTTCCCAAACTGAGGGGCCCAGAAATGGACACAGTTTTGTCACAGTTTGACAATTTTCTATACATTTTTCTCTCCCACCTCCAATCTTGACGGTGAAGTCCTCGGACACCATGCAGTTGCGGGCGGCCAGGTCCCGGTGCACGAACTTGTTGGCGCTGAGGTAGGCCATGCCGTCGGCGATCTCGCCCGCCATCTGGATCATGTCCTTCAGCGACGGCGGTGGCAGCCCGGGGTTGTTCTGCACCGTGCACAGAGTCAGGGCTGGGGCAGGGGTGTGCCAGCACCCCCCTGGAGCAGGGTGAGTGTCCCTTCTCCTGGCACCTGACCAGCCCCTCACCTCGGCTTCAGGCCTGAGAGAACGCAGGTAGCTCTTCAGGTCCCCACGTGTCATCAGCTCCATGATGACCAAAGCTGGCTGGCCCTGGGATACCACGCCCAGCAGACGGACCTGCAGGGACAAAGAGGGCTGGCGTGTCAGTGGCCAGACCCGCCACGTCCCCTCCCTCCCCCTCAGCTGCCCACCTACCACGTGGTGGCACTTGAAGGCTTTCATGACGGAGGCCTCGTTGAGGAACTCGATGCGCTCCCGCATGGTGGCCAGCTCGTTGACTGTCTTCAGGGCCACCTTGGTCTCCTCTCCCTCCGTGACCAGCCCCAGGGCCACCCCCTCATACACCATCCCAAAGGAGCCCTGTCCCAGCTCCCGGATCACTGTGATCTTCTCCCGGGACACCTCCCACTCATCAGGCATGTACACTGTGGGGTGAGTGGGGATCACCCCATCCCCGTCACTGTGACTAACCCCATCCGCATCCCCATCCTCATCTCCATGTCATCACCATCCTAGTCCCTGTCCCCATTCCCATCTCCATCCCATTCCCATCCTCGTCTCCATCCTCATCCTCATCTCCATGATGGAGATGGAGATGGAGATGGAGATGAGGATGGGGTGGGATGGGATGGTTTGGGGATGGGATGGAGATGGGATGGGAATGGGATGGAGATAGGGTTGGGATGGGATGGAGATGGAGAGGAGGATGGGATGGTGTGGTGTGGTGTGGTGTGCCCCTATAACCAGACCTGGCAGGGCTGGGCAGGGGATGCCACAGGGGGTTCTCACCTCACTCTCCCGGCTGTACTTAATCTCATACTTGAGGATGAGCCCGTTGGGGTTCCTGGGCTCTTCCCAGCGCAGCAGGACACTGTTCTTGCCAGCCGGCTCCCACGTGACGTTGCCAGGAATGTTGTCAGCTTGCACTGGAGAGAGGCACAGAGGGAGTCAGCTCCTGAGGGCATCACCCACTGCCAAGCCCCATCTCAACAACATCCCAGCACGGCCAGGGTGGGTTTGGAAGGGCTGGGGACGCACGCTCGGGCATGGTCCTGGCGAAGACGAAGGTGGCGGCGCTGCAGCCCACGGTGTGCGCGGCGTGGTTGCAGGCGTGGATGTCGATGCGGTACTCGGTGAAGTGGCGCAGCCGCGACAGCACCGCCCGGTCACGCACCACCTTGTCCTCGAAGATCTGGAAGTCAGGCTTGGGCTCGCCTCCCGGGCGGCTCGGGGCCAGCGGCTCTGCTGAGGAAGCGTTGGCCGCGGATGTGACGGCCACCACGTCCCTGCGCTGCTTTGGGGTCCTGCAGGACATGGGGACAGGAAGTGGTGGGGAGTTGAGGCGCTGGGGTTGTCCCCCAAAATTGGTCAGAGGAGGGGAGATCACCCAGGCTGGTGTGGTCCCAGCTCACCTCTGTGGGTTCTTATTGATGGATGTCACCTTCCAGGGTGGCCTGACACAGTAGGAAATCAGTTAAAGGGTCTGCCAGGAGCAGCCACTGGACCCCCCCACCCAGGCAGACCCACGCACCCAGCTTGAGGGAGCCCCCCAAAGCAGGGAACCCCCCCAGATGGCACCTGGGGATGGTGATGGAATTGTGGAGGAAGTTCTCAAACTTCTTCTGGAAGGACTCGGCCTCGCCCTCCATGCGGAGCTGCCCGTCAGTGGGGCGGCAGGGGCAGCACCTCTCCTCCGCATCCTGCTCCCCCTCAGGACCATCCCCAAAACCAAAACGCGTGTCTGCGCTGCTGGTGGGCAGCTTCAGGCCTGTGGGCAGCAACGGGCAGGGCTGGCAGAGCCTGGCTCAGTGGCACCACCCTCGTTCCCCTGGTGTTCCTGGCTGCTGTGCTGCCCCTGCTCGGCCTGGCCTCACCTTTGTGGCAGTAGTCGTTGATGTAGAGTTCCATGTCCTCGGCCAGCTGCTGCCACAGCACCAGGTAGTAGACGATGTTGCCGTTGCGCTGCGTGGGCGGTTTCCAACGCACCACGATGTGGGAGGAAGAGTTGGACATGGAGATGACATCCCGGGGCACCGTCGGGGCTGGGATGACACAGGGGTGGTCAGTCTTTCCTGAGGGTGGGGGGGTTCACCAAGGGTATTGCCAGCCCCCTGCCAGCCCCTTACCCGCTGGCATGGTGCGGATGTAAACCACCTCGCTCTGTGCCCCGTAGTTGCGTCCTTCCTCGGCCGTGGTGAGGGTGATGGCGCGCACAAAGATGGCATATTGGGTCCAAGGACGGAGATTGAGCAGCGTCACCCCTGGCTCCTGCTCACTGCTCAGGGGTAGATCCACATCCAGCACGTTCCAGCTCTGGGCCCCACAGGCATCCTGTCCCACGTACTCCGACACATTCTGGAAGGGTCTATCCCACACCAGACATCAGGGAGCGTCCCGGGAGCTTCCAGCAGGGACAGAGGACACCACAGGCTAGCATTCCCAAGCCCTCCACAACGGGGCAAGAGGCAGCACTTACGACTCCTTGTAGTAGACAATGAAGCTGAGGAGGTCCCGGTACTCGGGGGGCCGGTACCGCTCCCACTTGAGGAAGATGCGATCGGACTCGGTGACGTTGGAGATGAAGCGCAGGGTCTGGGTCTTGCCTGTGGGGAGGAGGCAGGGCTCAGGCAGAGGGTCGTGGCACTGCTGGATGTCCCCATGCCCGTACTCACAGGACGCCCGGTCCCCGTTGGTGCGGGGGTTGATCTCGGCTTTGTTCTGCCGGCCCTTGGTGCCTGTCACCTCCTCCATGCGATAGATCTCGGCCAGGCACAGCTTGGGATTGAATGCAAAGTACATCTTGCCCACAGGGATGGAGAGGATGTGGTGGCTCCAGTCCCAGAGCTGCTGCAGGTTCTGGTTGTCCAGGACATACAGGGTGTAATTCCTGGGGGAGGAGGTATGGATGGAGGCAGTGGGCAAGGGAACCTTCAGGGCCACATGTCCCCCCCAAACCCACACCATCCTCACCCATCCACCATGGAGTCACCACGGATCAGTTTTAGGTTCTTGAAGAAGGACAAGGAGACGAGGGCAAAGGAGTGCTTGATCTTCAAGAAGCCCGTGATGGTCTCAATGAGTCCCAGGCTGCTCTGCAGCTCCGAGGCCAGGTTATCTGGGAATGACACACTGTGTGAGCTCAGGGAGAAGGGCACCTCCCCATTAATTCACTCTGCAAGGCAAAACACCCCCCTTCCTCCACCCCCTGCCCTCCACAGCAGCTGCCCCACCCAGGGTGGGTTTGGCAGGCACTCACAGCCCCGGCGGATGTTGAGGATGAGGTTCCCCTCGATGAGGGTGCAGCCCCCCAGCTCCTGCGCCGCCTGCATCGAGTCGATGGTCTTGGTGCCCACCTTGCACTCCTTGGGACACAGCCCCTCGCACTTGTGGCAGAACATGCTGCAGGCAGGGTGACAGGGACGGGACGTGAGCCAGCCAGCGCGCCACCACCGTGCCCGTGCCGGGGCACCGGGGACACCCCCACCTGCTCTCGTTCCTGGTGTATCCCGAAGGACACTCGGACAGGCACTGCCGCTGGTGGATGACGAACTTGGAGGCGTCGCGGGGGTTGTCGGAGACCTTGCGGAGGCTGGCGCAGTACTCGGCGGTGACGCAGCGCCAGCCCTCGTACTCGTAGGTGCGGGGCGGGCACGAGGGCAGGCAGTGCCCGTTGAAGTGGAAGTGGCGGCAGGCGACGCAGGCCCGTCTGTCGTGGGGGCGGCCGCAGCCCCCCAGGCACTCGGCGTGGCAGCACTCGCCCGCTGCCGTGCACGCCGAGCCCGCACCGCACGGGCACACTGAGAGGGGAGACACGGCACGTGGGCACGGAGCCCAGCCTTGGGCTGCACGGCTTGGGATTGGGGTCAGGGGGGAGAGGAGAGAGGTGGGAAGGGCTCGGGGGGCTGCTGGCATCCTCCAGGGCTGGGGGAAAACAGGAGGGAGGGTGGGGTAGAGAGATAGACAGAGGGAGGGATGGGGGGATGAAGGGATGCAGGGAGGGAGGCATTCAATGATGGAGGAATGCAGGGATGGAGGGAGGAATGGATGGTGGGATGATGGGATGCAGGGAGGGATGTGGGGATGGATTTGATGATGGAGGAATGCAGGGATGGAGGGAGGAATGGATGGTGGGATGAAGGGATGCAGGGAGGGATGTGGGGATGGATTTGATGATGGAGGAATCCAGGGATGGAGGGAGGAATGGATGGTGGGATGAAGGGATGCAGGGAGGGATGTGGGGATGGATTTGATGATGGAGGAATCCAGGGATGGAGGGAGGAATGGATGGTGGGATGAAGGGAGAAATGTGATGCAGGGATGGATGGTGGGATGAAGGGATGTAGGGAAGGAGGGACATGGGGGTGGATTTGGTGATGGAGGAATGAAGGGATGGAGTGAGGGATGGTGGAATGAAGAGAGAAATGTGATGCAGGGACAGGAGGGATGCTGGGATGTGGGGATGCAAGAATGGAGGGAGAAAGGGAGGGATGCAGGTATGCAGTGAGGAATACAGGGATGGATTAATGGAGAAGTGGATGGAGGCATGGCAGCACTGATGGAGGGGTGCCCAAAGGGATGGAGGAACGGATGGACAGCTGTGTGATGAGTGAGGCTGGCCAGGCAGGTGGGTTGATGGGTGGCTGAGTGAGCAGCTGGATGGCTGGATGGGGGGCTGCATGGAGGGACAGCAGGACAGATGGATGGACAAGGTGGGGCTCAACCCATGCTGAACCCCATCTGCCCAGTGCAGCCAGGCCGGGGCCACAGCTGAGGTTGCAGCCCTGATAAGGATCTGTGTTTATAGTACATATTTCATTACCAGCTCTCCTGTTTACAGAAAACGAGCTCAGGAGGGGCCTGTATTTACCTCGCCGCTGGGAAAACACAGCAGCCAGGAGCTGGCCTCTCCTCGGAGGATGATACAGCACGGATCTGGTTACCCCACCGTGCTGCCTGCACAGCACACTCCCTGCAGCAGGGGAGCCACGGCCACACGCCGGCTCTGCCATTCCCAGGTGGCCCCACCAGCCTCCTCCAGCACCCTCCCCGTTTGCCCCACAGTGCAAACAGCACCATCCCAGAAAAGCAGCACAACCAGACCCCGTGCCAGCAGCACCCACCTTTCTGGCAGTAGCTGGAGGTCCAGCAGCGATAATCCAGCTGTCCGTTGACGCTGGTCTGCACACACGGCTTCTCCACATCCAGGATGCCCGGGCAGACATCGGCACACTCTTCAGCCAACTTATTGCCGACGATGTAGGTGCTGTCCCCGCTGTCGGGCAGCAGCAGCCCCCAGTCGATGGTGGAGAGGTGGCAGAGCTCCTGGTTGCGCTCAATGCGCACCGAACCGCGGAGGATGTGGCCCAGGCTGTGCAGCCCCACGTCCCGCAGGTGCGGCATCTCGAAGATGACCAAGGCGTAGCTGAAGAAGAGGTTGGTGCCGCGGATGACGGAGAGGTTGGGGAAGAGATCCCGCAGGCTCTCCAGCCCGTAGACGCGGAAAAGGAGCAGGTACTCTGTGATCATGAGCAGGCGAGGGAAGCTGAGCCCCCGAAAGTCCTCGGCGCCCGTGGTGAACATCAGCAGGATCTGCAGGTTGCCTTCGATGATGGAGCAGTTCTCCAGCTTCCGCAGCTGGGAGACGTCGTTGCGGATGTCCATGCTGCCGCAGACTGGGGTGGCGAGAGGGGGACCCCATGGGCAGCAGCAGGGACAGGGCAGCTGCCCCCACTCCCACCCAGGGACCCCCAGGTGATGCTCAGGGGGAGTTTAATATCCTGGTGCTGCCTGTGAAGCATGGCTGGAATTGGAGACGCGAGCGGCTCTGGCAGCAGCCGACACGCCGCGGCTCTCCGGGGCACGGCGTGTCCGTCAGCAGCGATGCTAACGAGGCCTGGCAGGCTACCCTGCCCCACGTCAGCCCCACAATCAAGTCCCAGCCCTGGGGGAAGCTGTCTGGGGGTGCAGACAGCTTTTCTCCTTCCTCAAGTTGCAGGGCAGCTGTGGGTGCTCACAGATCTCCCCACTCACGGTTACCCAGTGAGTGGCAGCTCCAGCAGGGCTGTCCCCATTAACTCCCCCTGGTCCCCAGAAAGATAATGGGGCATGAAAGGCTACCACAGGTGTCCATGTGGCACGGCCCCAGCCCCACACTGGCTGTCCTGGAGCTTTTTCACCCAGGAATGGGCAGCATGAGCCCCAGCACCTCCTGCTTCCTAATCCTGGCACAGATGCAAGAGCCAGACTAAGCACAGAGCTTCCCACTGACAGCATCCCCAGCCAGAAACCAGGGCCAGGTCCTGGAGGGGATCAGGTGCATGGTACACCCCTCGTCTGCCTGCTGCCAGCCCGGGCTCATGGCCATGTCCTTGTGACCTCATGTTTGGTGGTGATTTTCCCCTCTTGGTGCCACCCATGAACCGTGGGCACTGCGGCCCCGTGGGCACTGTGGCTCTGGCAGCTGCCCATAGCCCCTCTCCCCAGGTTCAGCCCCTCACTGGGAGCCCTGTCCCCTCCCTCTGAGGACAGGAGGGTCCCTCTGTCCCACTGCGAGGGTTACCACCCCTGCTGCCACCATCACCTCCCTGACCCTGCAAAGTCCCCCTGTAAGGGGAGGGGGTCTCCCCTGCCCCTGGGAGCACAGACAGAGGACAGGGGTCCCAGAGGGAGCAGGCACAGTGACGTGTGTCCCTTGGGCAGCTCTTGGTGCTTCATCCTCCTCCTCCACTGCTCCCATCCCCCAGCACAGCCCCTCGGTGACTGGGGAAACTGAGGCACGGGTGATAGGGAGAGGGGAAGGCAGGACAAATGACAGACCCTCCTCATACCCCCAGCTGTCCCCTGTCGTGGCCATGAGACCCAGGACCCACGGCTGCCCCCTCCCCACCATGGCACCCCCTCCCCAACTTTTCCCACCCCAGCAGCTGCGCAGGGAGCAGCGCTCCCAACTCCTGGGACAATTTCACACCATCCCGGTGGGGCTGAGGGACCCATCTCCGGCCAAGCCCCCCACTCCACTCCCCTCATCCTATCCCAGCAGTAGGGGGCTGCCACACTCTGCCCCTCCTGCCCAGCACGGGGGGTCTGCAGCATTGGGGGGCAAACTCAGGGAACACCCCAAGAGCTTTGCCTCGGGGCTTGTCTCTTGCAGACCCCTGAGCACAGGCAGCCCCCGCCCCAAAACTGCCCCCCAAAGCAAGCACCCCCCACCCCACTCCCAAGCACTTACTTTCGTTGGGAGCCCACACGGGGGGCACTGGGAGGTGGCCAAGGACCAGCAACATCACCCCCATCCTCGGCCCCATCCTCGAGCGGGACCCCCAGGGCCCCGTCCCCGCCGCTCTCGGGCTCTGCCGCACCGTGTCCGGCGCCGCTCGCCGTGTCCGGCCGGTACCCGGGGAGCGCCGGGACTGGGGGGGGCCCACGGACCCCGCCCGGACCCTGCGGCCCCTTCACTTTTGTTTTCGGCTGCCGCACACAAAATATTTAGCCTGACAACTGTCAGGGCCAGGGCCAGGGCATGTTTGGGAAATAGAGAGGGGGAAAACAGGGCGGCCCCCCTGCGCCGCAGTGGGTGGGAAGGAAGAACTGCCTCTTGCCTCAGTTTCCCCGGCCAGAGCAGGAGGTTCCAGGTGTCTCTGGAGGGGGGACTTCAGGAAAGCAGCCAGCAACCCATGGAACAGCACAGAAGGGACAACGTAAGGGTGACTCTGCCTCGTAGGGTGAATCTGGGGTGCCAGGAGCCCACGGCTTTGGGGTCCCCACAGAACAGCAGCCCTGCAGTGAGGGAGGAAGCTGCGGGCACTCAGCACCTGCCTGGCTGTGACGAGCCACCCTCAAGGGGAAGGAGAAGCAGGAGAAGAGGATAGAGGAGGAGGAGGAGGTGACATTTATTTTTCTCATTAGGACAAATCAGGGAGGAGGGTCCCAGCCCTGGGGGCAGGACCGGGGTGCTGATGCCCCAGTGACCCTCCAACACCACAGAACTAGGAGCTCTGGGGCTGGACAGTGCCCCTGCCCCTTGGATGGGGTCATGGGGGGACCCCCAAGGCTCCTCTCGCAGAGGTTCTGTCTTTTTTGGGAGGAGCTCAGGAGGAGCTGCTTCTCTGCCGGCACAGCAGAGCGGTGTGGGGGCTTCTCTCCTCCTCTTGGTCACTCGCACAGCAGCGCTGGGGGCACAGGGGGGCTGCAGGGCAGCGACAGGACTTCCCCCAGAGGAGAGGGTACCCCTCACTGCACAGCACCCCGCCCTACTCGATGCCCCCATCGCTGGCCAAGACCCCCACCACACTTCCCTCGCCCCATCCCAGCAATAGGGGGGATGCCCAAAACAGGGGGTCTGCAGCACAGAGGGTACTGCCATAGAGACAAACTGAGAGACCCCCCCAAATCACTTCTCCCCCCTCCCCAGCCCATGCTGGGTGGGATCTGGGGGCTCACCAGCTCCTCATCCTCCCTCCTCGTGCGGCACAGCCGGTTGCAGGCGGACACGGTGTTGTAGGAGAGCTACAGGGGGACAGGAAGGGAGGGGGTCAGAGGTGGGGGTCTCTCCCCAGCTCTACCCCCCCCTCACCACAGTGGGGGCTCCCCAGGGGACTCAGGGCTGCTGGGACCCCACAGCCGGTCACCTTCCACTTCCTCCGGGCATTGAACTTGCGGAAGTTTCTCATGTTGATGGAGGAACGGCTCCGGCTCAGCGCCTGCTTCCTGCTCAGGGGCTGCGGGGGCAAGGACATGGCACCGGCACTGGCACCATGTCCCCATCCCGCTGCCAGGGTCTGGCAGGCCCTGCCTGTGCCTCTCACCTTGATCCAGGGGTGGACCAGGCACTCGGCCGCGCTCATGCGGCGCCTGCGGCACAAAGGGAGGCGTTGGGGTCGGGGGTCCCGGCCCCACACGCCCACCCGGGGATGGGGAGGTGGCCAGGATCAGGGTGAGGGTCAGGGTGAGGGTGAGGGTCAGGCTTAGGGTCAGGGTGAGAGTCAGGGTTAGGGTTAGGGTCAGGGTGAGGGTCAGGGTCAGGGTCAGGGTCAGGGTTAGGCTCAGGGTTAGGCTCAGGGTCAGGGTTAAGGTCAGGGTGAGGGTCAGGGTCAGGGTTGGGCTCAGGGTCAGGGTCAGGGTTAGGGTTAGGGTTTGTGTTAGGGTCAGGATGGTGCTGGTGGGGACAGAGAAGGGAACCAGATGGAGGTGGAGATGGTGGGGATGGAGATGTGGATGAGATGAAGGTGGAAATAGAGATGGGATGGAGATAGGGATGGGTTATGGATGGAGACGGAGATGGAGATGGGAATGCGGATGGGATGGGATGGGATGGAGATAGGGATGGGGATGGGGACAGCAATAGGATGCAAATAGAAAGAGAGATGGGGATGATGGAGGTGGGGATGGGGATGAAGATGAGGTTGGGACCAGGATGAGATGGAGATAGGGATGGGGATGATGAAGATGGGATTTGGATGTTGAAGGTGGAGGTGGGGGCAGAGATGGGAAGGAGACGGAAGGGATGGGGATGGGGCCTCACTCTGGCTCCTTCACCAGCAGCTGGCGGATGAAGTCCTTGGCCATCTCGGAGGTCTGGCTGAAGCAGCGCTCCTCAAACTCGTAGGCACCAGCCACAACGTTGGAGAGGGTCTCAGCGTCCGTCTCACCCTGGAAGGGGGACAGGCCACTGAGCCTGTGGGGACACAACAGAGCTACTGAGTGCCAGGACAGCACCGGCTCGGCCACCCCAGCACCCACAGCATCCCTGTGCCTCAGTTTCCCCCAGCCACAGAGAGCATTGCCCCACACTCACAGAATGTAGGTGATGACTCCGATGCTCCTGAAATGCAGAGGTGGGGGTCACGTGCTGCCCTCCCTGGGGCCCCCCATGTCCTGTGGCACCCAGGGGGGTCCCACCCACCCACCAGCTCAGCCTGTTGTGCCCCCCCAGGTCCTGACTCCTCACCACATGTCGGTCGCAGGGCTCAGCGGCTCATAATTGATCACTTCAGGAGCTGGGGGCAAACACAGAGCCAGGGCGGGATATCAGGGGGACAGGGGGACAGGAGCACGCCTGCAAGCCTGGGGGTCCCATCCCCAGCCCTGGCTGAGCAGCCCAGCAGGGCAGGGACCCCCAGGGATGTGCCAGCCCCATACCAATGTACTGGGGGGTCCCACAGAGGCTCTTGTAGGTGATGCCATCCTCCAGCTGCTGGGCCAGCCCAAAGTCAATGATCTTGATCCAGGGCTTGGGGACATCTTTCTCCTGCAGCATGATGTTCTCGGGCTGTGGGGACAGGGCTGAGGTGACTGAGGGGTGATGGGGGTCACAGCAGCACCTTGGGAAGCTGAGAAGAGTGGGAGCAGGGCTCTGGCACTCCTTGGATCCTCAGGGAGTGAGGATGGAGGGTCCCCATGGGCACCTTGAGGTCGAAGTGAGCGATGAGGCGAGCGTGCAGATATTCCACCCCGCACAGGATCTGCCCCAGGAACTCGATGGCCTCCTCCTCCGACAGCATCTCCTTCTCCGCAATGAAGTCAAAGAGCTCCCCACCACGGATCCTGCGCAGGGTGGGGACAGCGGAGCTCGGCCACCTCCAACACGTGGCACAAAAAGGGGGTGTCCCCCCCGCACCCCCACCCACCGGGTCCCCACTCACAGCTCCAGGACGAGCACCACCTCGGCCGTGCTGGCGAAGAGCTCGTGGAGCTGGATGATGTTGGGGTGGCGGAGCTGGCGGAGGATGGAGACTTCCCGTTCCACCTGAGCCCGCTCCGCGCCCGGGCGGCCGCCCCGGCCCCGCCGCATCTTCACAAATTTGGCGGCGTAGAAGGCGCCGGTGCTGCGCTGGCGGCAGAGCCTCACCACGCCGAAGTGGCCGCTGCAGCAAGAGCTGGGCTGGGGCACGGCTGGGCTGACCCCGGGCTGGGGGAACACCCCAGAAATCCCTGGGCAGCTCTGGGGCTCCGCTGGAGCTGGGATCCCTGCCTGTGTTCACCTGCCTGGATCCCTGTGTTCACCTGCCTGCGACCTGCTCACCTGTGGTGGGTCCTGCTCACCTGCCTGGGTGCCACTCACCAGCCCTCATCCCACTCACCTGCCCTCATCCCACTCACCTGCCCAGATCCCATTCACCTGCCTGGATCCCCCTCACCTGCCTGGGTCCCACTCACCTGCCCAGATCCCCCTCACCTGCCCAGATCCCCCTCACCTGCCCAGATTCTTCCTTACCTGCGTGGATTCCTGCTCACCTGCCCAGATCCCTGCTCACCTGCCTGGATTTCTGCCTGCTCTGTGTTCACCTGCCTGAAACTGCTCAGCAGTGGTGGGTCCTGTTCACCTGCCCAGACCCCCTCACCTGCCCAGCTCCCCCCTCACCTGCCCAGACCCCCTCACCTGCCCAGATCCCCCTCACCTGCCCAGCCTCTCCAGCAGCTCATACGTGTCCTCCACGCTGCCCAGGCTCGGGGTGGCTTCCAGGACCTGGCTCCCCTCATCCTCCCTGGGCTCAGCCACCTCCTGTGGGGCAGGACCAAGACCTGGCTCAGTCCCTGCCCAGGGCTGTGCCCCCACCTGGGAGTGCAGGGACCCCCCAGGACCCTCCAAGGGGAATTCCCAGTGCTGTGTCAGAGCTCAGGCCCTGCCCATTTCTTCCAGTTTACACCGAATTCTTCAGCAGGTGGAAACTTGGGGGCTTCCACCCCTTGAGAAGGACCTGCAGGAGCTGCTCAGGGGGCTTGGAAATGGGGCAGGAGCAGGAAGAGGGGGGGGTCACAGCAGCCTCCCTCTCCCTCAGTGTGCTAGGGGTGCAAAATGCAGAGAAAACACAACACTTGCGGTTTTTTAAAGAAATCGGATTAATAGCAGACGAAAGCACTGTGAGCTCAGCCATGAGAGCCCTGCCCAGCCACCCCCAGCCCCCTGGCAGTGCCCCCACACCCCCCAGAGCTGTGGCTCACCTGGGTGCTGCCAGAGGCACCCCTCAGCCCCCCCTCAGCCGGGCCCTGGCCGCTCTCGGCCATCCCTGCAAGACAAAAAGGGTCAGGGGGACACTGGCTCTGCAGGTCCTGGCAGGGGGGGGGCAGGGGTGGCTTCTGGGGGACCAGAAGAGCCCAGGAGAGCCGGTGCCACCGCTCTGGGATGGACCCAGGGTGATGGTGGCAGTGCCGTGGGGTAACAGAGTTAGGGAGGGAAAAAATGGATTGTGCAGAGTCAGTTTGGGAAGGGAAGTTTTGGGGAGAGGAGAGGAGAGGAGAGGAGAGGAGAGGAGAGGAGAAATGTGTGAGGGCAGATATATATATAATATATAAATATTATATATAAATGCAAATATATTACTATATATAATATATTATTATTTATATCATAAATATTATTTTTACATATATAGAAATGACAGTCAGTGATCCCCATGCCCTAAAGGACACTTGGAGGTCCCCAAGCCCTGAAGGACACTCAGTGGTCCCCAAGCCCAGTTCCCCTCCAGCCTCTCCCAGCCCAGCTGTGCCCCCTTACCCTCCCCAAGCCTTCCTCCACATCAGCAGTGTTTCTTCCTCACTCCCCAGCCTGCCAGCCCGTACAGGGACACTCCCTGTCCCCTCTGCCTGTCCCCTGCCCCCTGGCACGGCCCCTGGCACGGCAGAGCTGGCCCATCCCGGGCGGGTACGTGCCCGGGGGCGGCTGCAGCTGAAGCCAGGCCAACATCCCCGGCCATGTGACGTGTCCGTGGGGGGACAGTGTGTCTGTTTGTCCCCTGGGGGTGGACACAAGCAGCTGATTCTCCCGTGCCTTGCCAGACACACCCTGGCATTGTGCTGCTTTTGAAAGGAGGGAAACTGAGGCACGGGTGGCTAAAGGCACTGGTGGAAACCGCTGAGCTCCTGTGCAGAGCTGGAGCCACGGGGGCTGTGGGGACAGAATTTCCTGTCCCACCGTGCCTTTCCTTTTCTTCTCCTTTTCTCCTTTTCTCCTTTTCTCCTTTTCTCCTTTTCTCCTTTCCTTTCCTTTCCTTTTCTTTCCTTTCCTTTCCTTTCCTTTTCTTTCCTTTCCTTTCCTTTCCTTTTCCTTTTCCTTTTCCTTTCCCTGTCCTGTCCCACCAGGAACACCAGCCTGGCCTCAGCACAGGCTGCCCAAAAATGAGCTCCCATCTCAGCACCCAACTCCCAAAAACCCCACTGGACCCCAAAACCCCCCCAGCCAGGACAGCCCCCAACCTGCTGCGTGACGGGGAGCTGGGACCCCTCACCTCCAGCTCCAGCCTTCCTCCAGCAGCCCTGGCAGTGCCAGGATCTTCCTCACAGCTGCAGCATTCCCGGGAGCTGCGCCAGGATCCGGCCACAGCGGCTCAGGACAAGAAGATCTCTTCGCGTTCCTCCTCCCGCGGGCTCTTGAGAGCACCCCCAGCTGTGCAGAGGAGCCAAAAAAAGGCTTTTTAGGAGCGATTCCTGGTGGTTCCAGCCTCGGCTGCTTGAGGAGCAGCCGGGATGAGCCGCGGGTGGACGATGTCCCCTCTCAGCGCCTTTCCCCGTGCCGGTGAGCATCGCAAACAGGAAGCCTGGCGGACACCGCCACGGGAAACGTGGGAGGCCCTGAAGGTTTTGGGGAGGTGATAAAAACGACAGCAAGCTCCCGGACTAAAGTGGTTCCAGCATTTATTATAAAAAAGAAAGGCCTAAAGCAAGGGGGCCTGTGGGCTGAGCAGGAGCATTCCTGTCGAGGATGCTGCAGCGCTGGCACTGGGGTTTCCTTTCAGCAGTGATGTTCCAGGTGGAACTGCACAACTTCAGTGGGTCAGAAGCCCCTTTTCATCCCATTTTTTGTCCCTTTGGATTGCTTTTTGTTGGGATCCTTCATTTCCATGAAGGTTTAAGGCGCTTGATTGGCCCTTACAGTTCTGTCCAGGCTGGCTCATTTCGCTTGGGGGTGGTGCACTTTACTTAGGTGTATAACTTCTTATAACTACCCTTTTACAATATAATAACCAAACTGACAGCACATGCTTAACAATTATCAACTATTTTACAACAGTTTCTAACCTATTTTTAACAGAGGGACAGCTTTCTTTAGGTGGGGGGAGCTGGGGCTGCTGGGGGGCACCACACGGCTCACCTGTGGGAATCCTTAAAATCAGAGAAAGCTGCAAAAAGCAGGCCTCAGAAACAGCAGAACTGTGATTTGAGCTAAGCAGTTGCTATAAAAATTGTCAGTGAAAAAATTATATAAGAAGTAGGAAGTAAGGACAAATAGAACAATGGTCTGTGTATTAATGCTTGGATAGAAAACTCCCTGAGCTACAGAAAAGTATATCTAGCGAGATATTAGGAAGTTATAAACTTAATGAATAATAATTTAATAATAATAAATTTTTAAAAATTAATAATAAATAAATAAATAATAGATACAAATTAATAATTTAATAATAGAGCCTTGTGCATTGCATCTTAAGGCTTACAAACAGGGATTGTATTTGAAATAAGAAAGCATTGTTTTAACATAAGCGTGTGCTTATGGTGATTAGACAGAATTACTGTCAATATGCTTTTGCTTTGTGTGATTGGTCAAAAAACTTTTAAAGTGAGTTGTAACATTGAGTTCTTTGTCTACTACCAAAAATGTAAGCTACTGACATCTCCCCAAGATCATAACCATGTAATAAGATTAATGCTAAAAAATAAACCTGCTCAAAACACACTCCTCAACAGTCCCATCCCGTGTGTAATTTATACAAAAACCCCCAACCAACCACACACCCCCAAAGTCAACACACAGCCAGCCTGTCCCGGTGGATGGCTGAGCCAGGCCCTGCCCGAATCCTTGCCCTAATTCCCAATCCATGGATGCAGCGGGGCTGGCACTGCCCTCACCCCGTGTCCAGCTGGAGCCTGGCACCGCCCGGGGTGAGAGTGACAGAGGACACGTGCCACAGCCACGGCGTTGGCAGCTCGGCTGCTGATGCCTCCAGAACAGCCCAGAATGGCCCAACACAGCCCAGAACGGCCCAGCACGGCACAGAACGGCCCAGAACGGCCCAGAATGGCCCAGAATGGCCCAGAACGGCCCAGCACGGCACAGAACGGCCCAGCACAGCCCAGAACGGCCCAGCACAGCCCAGAACAGCCCAGAACGGCCCAGAACGGCCCAGAACGGCCCAGAACGGCACAGAACGGCACAGAACGGCACAGCACGGCCCAGCACGGCACAGCACGGCCCAGAACGGCCCAGCACAGCCCAGAACAGCCCAGAACGGCCCAGAACGGCCCAGAACGGCACAGAACGGCACAGCACGGCACAGCACGGCACAGCACGGCCCAGAACGGCCCAGAACGGCACAGAACGGCACAGAACGGCACAGCACGGCCCAGCACGGCACAGCACGGCCCAGAATGGCCCAGAATGGCCCAGCACGGCACAGAACGGCCCAGAGCAGCCCAGCACAGTCCAGAACAGCCCAGCACAGTCCAGAACGGCCCAGCATGGCCCAGCACAGCCCAGAGCGGCCCAGAGCAGCCCAGAATGGCCCAGCACAGCCCAGAGCGGCCCAGCACAGCCCAGAGCGGCCCAGAGCGGCCCAGAATGGCCCAGCACAGCCCAGAGCGGCCCAGCACAGCCCAGAGCGGCCCAGAGCAGCCCAGAATGGCCCAGCACAGCCCAGAGCGGCCCAGCACGGCCCAGAAAGGCCCAGCACGGCCCAGCTCTGGCATCCAGAGTCTGAGGAAGGGGATGGTGCTGGATTGCACCGTGCCAGGATTGAATCTGGGCTCACGGTGTGAGCCTGGGCCTGCCGAGCCTGCTGTCCCCTCCCTGCTCTGCTGTCCCCTCTGAGCTCTGCTGTCCCCTCCGAGCTCTGCTGTCCCCACCCTGCTCTGCTGTCCCCTCTGCTGTCCGCTCCCTGTTCTGCTGTCCCCTCTGCTGTCCCCCCTCAGCTCTGCTGTCCCCTCTGCTGTCCCCTCCGAGCTCTGCTGTCCCTGTCCCCAGCAGTGGCAGGTGCCAGGATGCAGACAGCAGGGACAATGACACCTTTGCAGGCTCGCATGTGCTGCTGGCCAGGCGGCCACAGTCCCCTCCTTGCCACAGCCCAGCCTGTCCCGAGGCTGCCAGCGTCACCTGGCTGTCACCCCAGGGCCACCATGCCACCTTCCTGTGACGTTTCCCCATCACATGAAGGTTCTTGCAGCTTTGGTCGCTGCTTCCTGCCTGTGGCTGCCAGAGAGGCAGAGTACGGCAGGGCAGCGGGGCTGCCTCACCCTGCCCGTCCCTGCCTGTCCCCTGCCTGTCCCTGCCTGTCCCCTGCCCTGCACACCCACCCAGGGACACCGAGCAGAGGTAGGAGCTGGGCTGGGGGCTGGAGCTGGGGGCTGGGGTTGGGTTTGCAGCGAGGCCAAGGAGTGAACTCCTGCAGGATGGGAGGTGCAGGGATGTCCCCCTGCCCAAGGCAGGACAAAGGGCAGGATAATGGGGTGAAAAGAGGGGGATTGGGGTCCCCTGCCCACACCAGCCCTTCCAGCCAGATCTTACCCTCTCCAAAGGGGGAAGTTGAGCCGGAAATGTCTCGCAGAGCAAAACTTTCAGCCTGTTTCAGGACTGATCTGACTCGTTCCCACCCCTCAGGAGTGCAGGTTTCAGAGGCACATCCTGCCCCAGGGAGCAAATCCCCCACAGGGAGCTGCCCCACAAGCCAAAATGTTGGGATGGGGGAGCAGGGCTGAGCCCACCACCCCTGCCCAGCACCCCCACCCAGCTGGGGGATGCACAGCGAGCTGGGGACAGTGGCATTGTCCCCAGCAGCCTGGCCAGGACCTGACCTGGGCAGGACCTGACCCCAATTCTCCTTCCCAGCACTCCCCGAGCTGGATTACTGCAGTTTGGATGTTTTGTTTCTCTTTGTCAACACCTTCCCCTGCCTGCAGGGGTGCAGGGCCAGGCTGGGCTCTGCCGTGGGTTAAAGGTGGAGCTGGGGGAACCTTTGCTGGGTCCCCTTGCTCTCTGACAAGGTGGCTGGATCCCCTTGCTCTCAGACAAGCCTCGACCCACTCCTCTGACTCAGCTTTGCCTCCCAGATCCAAGCAGCCCCAGCATCTTCCACCCCCTCAAGCATCTGCTGGGGATTAACGTTGTTTTGCTGGGTGTTGGCAGCTCAGGGTCAAGCTCAAGGTCCCTCAGGAGCTGCTCAGCCTCTCCCTCCCCTAGCCAGGGCTGAGCCGACACACTGAGGACTTCAGAGGGGCTGGAGGATTCACATGCTCTGTCCTCAGCTCCTCCCCACCTACATCACTGTCCCCCCTTCTCCTCTGGGCTCCCAAGGTCTCTGTCCCTCCCCATCACATGGGCTGGCGAGGATCAGGGTGCAGAGCCTGAGCTTGGGGAGCACAAGGTGAAGGTGATGGTGAGAGCAGGGCCTGTGGGGGTGTCTTGGAGCCCCCAAACTCCCCAGTGCTCTTCCCAAAGGAGCCCCCCGTGCCCTGAGCCTTTTCCTCCCCACTCCCTGGGACAGGGCACTCCATGGATGACGACCGTCCCCTCTTCATCACCTTCAAGCCCCTCGCCGAGGACAGCACAGCCAGAGCCAAGCCAGCACCCACCAGCACCCCCAGCCAGCCCCAGGGGGCAGAGCAGCCGCCAGGATGTCACAGCAGGCATGGCAGGGTAGGACATGGGGACACCAGGGTGGACACGAGCCCAGCTCACCCTCCCAGTGCTCAGGGGCCGTGTCCTCATGGGCTGCACGGGGAGCAGAACGTCCTTGGTGTGTCCTCACCTGCTGTCCCCTTCCCTCCAGGTCCCTCCAGGCTTCTGGCCACCCCCAGCAGCCCAGTCCCTGCCCGAGGGGGAGCCGTGGCCGGAGCGGGTGGCCCTGCGTGCCCGCACCAGGCTCTGGTTTGAGCAGACACAAGCGCAGAGGTTGGGGCCCGAGGGGGAGCTCCCCTCGTGGTTCCATGGCTTCATCAGCCGCAGGTGAGCGAGGGGAGGCCGGGGGGGGACAGGGCCAGTGTGTCCCCTCCCCAGGGCTCCCGAACAGGGAGCTGGATCACACGGAGGGGATGAGGCTCAGTGTCCCTTCCCGCAGGGAGGCCGAGCAGCTGCTGCAGGATCAGCCCCTGGGCTGTTTCCTGGTGCGCTTCAGCGAGAGCACCGTGGGCTTCGTGCTGTCCTACAGGTGAGGCAAACCTGCAGCCTGTGCCAGGGAGGGGCCGAGCTCAGCCCCCTCCCGGCCGCTGTGCCCGTGCCGTGCCATGCCGTGCCCATGCCGTGCCATGCCGTGCTGTGCTGTGCCATGCCATACTGTGCCATGCCGTGCTGTGCTGTGCCATGCCGTGCCATGCCATGCTATGCCATGCCATGCCATGTTGTGCCATGCTGTGCCATGCCATGCTGTGCCCATGCCATGCCATGCCGTGCTGTGCCGTGCCCATGCCTTGCCATGCTATGCCATGCCATGCTATGTGATGCCATGCTGTGCCCATGCCATGCCATGCTGTGCCGTGCCATGCTGTGCCCATGCCATGCCATGCCATGCCGTGCCCATGCCATGCTGTGCCATGCCGTGCCCGTGTCATGCCATGTCATGCTGTGCCATGCCGTGCCATCTCCCGCCAGGGGCAGGGATCGCTGCCGGCACTTTGTCCTGGACCAGCTGCCGGACGGGCGCTACGTGATCCTGGGCGAGAGCAGCGCCCACGCCGAGCTGGCCGAGCTGCTGCGGCACCACGGCACCGCCCCGGTCACACCGTACCGCGAGTTCCTCACCGTGCCCCTGCCCTGCCGGGTGAGCCCCGGCCCTGAGAGACCCTGAGAGACCCCGAGGGACCCTGAGAGACCCCAAAAATCCCTGAAAGCCCCTGAGAGCCCCCGAGAGCCCCCAAGAGCCCCTAGAAATCCCTGTCAGCCTCCAAGAGCCCCTGAGAGCCCCCAAGAACCCCCGAGAACCCCCAGGAATCCCTGAGAGCCCCTGAGAGGCCCCAAAAATCCCTGGGAGCCCCTGAGAGCCCCCAAGAACCCCTGACAGCCCCAAGAACCCTCAAGAACTCCTGAGAACCCCTGAGAGCCCCCAAGAATCCCTGGGAGCCCGAGAGCCCCCAAGAACCCCTGACAGCCCCAAGAACCCTCAAGAACTCCTGAGAACCCCTGAGAGCCCCCAAGAATCCCCGAGAGCCCCTGAAAGCCCCCGCAGCCAAGGGGGATGGCAAAAACCCCCTTCCTGCAAAATCGGAGGATTTTCCCAGGCTGGGGAATACAGCCAAGGGAAATCCAAGCATCACAAAAGCCAGGGCTGGAAGCCACCCTGGCTAGGCAGGAGCAAGGAGCCAGCACCCAGCTGGGTGTGCCCTGGCCACGCACCCATCCTGTCCTTGTGCTCCCCAGGACAAGGGAAGAGATGAGAATCTTGACTCCATGTTTCAGAAGGCTCATTTCTTATTATATTATATTATATTATATTATATTATATTATATTATATTATATTATATTAGCTATACTAAAAAAATTATATTATATTATATTATATTATATTATATTATATTATATTATATTATACTATATTATATTAGCTATACTAAAAAAAAATAGAGAAATTATACAGACAGAAAGCTAGAAAGGAATGAATAATAAAAACCCGTGATTCTCAGAGCCTTGACACAGCTGGTTGGGCATCAAGTAAAAACAACTCACATGGATCAATCAAAGATGCACCTGTTGCATTCCACAGCAGCAGATAATTATTGTTTTTCGTTTCCTCTGAGGCTTCTCAGCTTCTCAGGAGAAAAAATCCTAGCAAAGGGATTTTCATAAAATATCACAGTGACACCCATCCCGACATGTCCCTGCTCTCCCCGCAGAAAGAGGAGCCCCGAGGGCGGGCACAGCCCCCGGCTGGCGGTGCTGCTGCACATTCCCCACCGAGCCAAGCACCGGCCAAGCTCCCGGAGTTCAGCCCCGTGTCCCTGGAGTGCCCCAGAGCCGAGGGCGGCTCCGCCAGAGAGGTAACGGGGCAGGGGGATGGAGGAAATTCCCAAGCACAGGACGGGAGGCGGGGGATGCAGTGACACCCCCAGCCCTCAGCCCTGCCCTGTCCCATCTCTCCCGCAGGCTCCCGGGGTGCCACCGTCGCTCCCTGCCAAGAGCAGCTCCCGGGGCGCGGCTCGGGGGCTGCCCAGCCCCTCCGGCAGCGCGGCAGCCCCCGAGGTCCCCTATGCCCAGGTGCACAAAGAATCCGCCCGCCCCGAGCCCCCCGAGGCCAAGTACCAGCAGCTCATGTGTTTCCACATCTACCCCGAGCTCCGCGAGGAGACGGACCCCAGCCCCTCAAGACACTGCGAGCCCCAGGAGCCCACCCCCGGGGGACACATCCCCGGGGGACCCCCCAGCCCCGAGGGACCCATCCCCGCGGAGCCCATCCCCTTCTATGCCATGGCCCGCGGTTGGAGCTCCCGTGCCAGCCCCGAGGAGAACGTCTACTCCGAGGTGGCACTGGCCCGGCAGGATGTGCCTGCCCGGCTCCCCACAGCCCCCCAAAATGCCTTCTCCACGCTGCCCCCCAAAGGCCGGCCCCACCGCCGGCTCCTGCGCAGCGTTTCCAGCCAGGACTGCAGGAGGAGGCAGCTCTCGGCGGCTCCCAGCACGGACAGGAAGGACAGAGGAGCTCCCAGCTCAGGCACACAGGTGGGTGGGTCCCCAAGGCAGGTCGTGGCTCTAGAGCTCAGCCCCAACACGAGTGAAGGCTCCTGGAGGCTGAGGGATGGGGGTTTGCTCCACACCAGGAGCACAAGGAAGTTGGAATGGTTTGGGGTAGAAAGAAGCCAATCCTATTCCACCCCCTGCCAGGGGCAGGGACACGTTCCATGATGCTCCAAGCCCTGTCCAACCTGGCCTGGAACACTTCCAGGGAAGGGGCAACTACAGCTTCTCTGTGCCAGGCCCTCGTCACCCTCACAGGGAAGAATTCCTTCCCAATATCCCAGCTATCCCTCTGGCAGTGGGAAGAATTCCTTCCCAATATCCCATCTATCTCTGGCAGTGGGAAGCCATTCCCCCTTTTCCTGTCACTCCAGGTCCTTACAAAATCTGGGTCCCTGTCCCAAAGCCAAGGGCTGGGAGGGTGCAAGACCACCCTTGTGCTGTTTCCTGGCTCTCAAATCCACCCTGTCCCCGGGAATTCCCAGGTTGTTCTGAAGCCTGAGCTGGAGCTGGATGACCCCGTGTACAGCAGGAGCACACCCAGGGAGCAGCAGCCCACGGCTGAGAATGTGTACGAGCAGCTGCCTGGGGACTGCCCCTGAGCCTCCCAGGCAGGAGGGACCTCAGCCCCCAGCTCACTGCAGGAAGCCCCTGGCCCTGGGAGGAGAGCTCCAAGGCTGCTGTTGGACCCAGCTGGTGATGCCAATCTGCTCCATGGGGAGCTCTTCCAGCTTCCCAGCCCTGTTGGACAACACAGGGGGGAGCCTCACCTCACCCATGAACACATTCCAAGAGACTTCTGTTAATAAAATGAGGGAGAAAAGCTGTTACAGGAAAACCAGGGATGAGTTTGGCACAGTTGGTGCATGCAGATGGATATTAAAATGGCCAGAAACTGGAGTGATGCTACACTGAACCTCCCCAGCCTGCAGCCAACACTCCAAGCCCTGCCTGCTTCCTCAGCCACAAAATTTTGGAGGACACCACTGTCCCAGGGCTGTCCCGTGGGGCACAAACCCTGGTGAGCCACAGTGGAGCTGGGCAGTGTCAGTGGTGCTCCCAGCCCAACAGGAGCAGGGAGCCAGGATGGCCAAAGCCCTGGCTTGGAGGGAAAAGGAGGGTTGGAGAACTGTAGCTGTTTTTATCTCTGGGAAAATTCACTTCTGACCTTTCACAAACATGAATTTTGTTGCTCTTAGAGGGCTGAAAGTGGAACACAAGCCCTTGGAACTTCCCTTGGTGCTAAAGCCAAGGCATTACCCCAATGAGAAATGGAAAGGGGAACCTGGGAGTTCCACCCCCACACTGCAAACTCCCCAGCCAAGAGGGTACCTGGATGAGGATCTGACCCCTTGGGATGGAAACAGGGCTGGGTGGGTTCATTTAGAAGTATATTCCTTCAGCAAATCTCTTCTGGGAGGATTTCACTGTACATACAAGATATGAATAAATTACTCAACAGTAACTTTATTCTGATCATTCAAATACTCAAAACAGGCTCTGCAAAGTACTAAACATACAGGGAGCTAAACTAAAAATGAGATTAGTTTAAAATGTTTTAAGAAAAGACTTCAGTCATGGGGGTTTGCCTGTTTTTAAGAGGTAACATGGGAGAAAAACCACCTCTTGGGAGTTCTTCTTACCAGAATAACAAATATTGGCCATTTGAGCCAAATAAAATCCAGATTGGTGGGAATATAAGTTAAATAACCAGGCCAGCTCTCTGCTCCCTTCAGCATCACATGCTTTGGTGAACAACAAAGTGATGCCATAGATTTGGATCCATGGATTGGGCCAGCAGAGCTGCACAGGATTTGCAGTCACATCACCTTGACAGAATTCCTTAAATAAAAAAAAAAAGGTTTGATTTGAAGAAATTAGGGCTGGGCAGTCTCCTCTTCCCAGCCAGGAGGGTAAAGTCAACACTTAATTGAAACAGAATTGATATAAACAAGCTGGAAAAAAAAATTACAGTTGGCAGCTCTCCTCTGTGTCTGCCCAGAGGAAACTGCAGAGCTCAGTCCCAGCCAGCCACACGTGGGACTCTGGGATACTCACTTGGATGAGTCTGAGAACAGCCTGGGGCAGGACAGGAGCCTTGGGTCGGGGGAGAAGGAAAGAGGAGGAAAAAGGAAGGACAATATACATGCACACATGGCTCAGGGTAACCCAAAGCCCTGAGTGTGCCAGGCAGGAGAAGCTCCCCTCCACGTGTGGTGCTTCCCCTGGCACAGGCTCTGACCTGCACGGGAGTGTCCCCTCTGCACGGCTCAGCCTCTGGAGCCCAGAGCAAAAACACACAATTAAAAATCAGGATATCAAAATTATTCAAAATTATTGACATGAGAGGAATGCTGGAGCAGTCCAGACACGAGGAAACAGCTGTGAGGACATCTTAAAGGTAAGGACCAAAATAAAAATTCCAAAGCCAGGCTTGCTCTTGGAACTCACCGTGTTTTAGAAAGGAAAATGACACTCTCAATGCACAGCAAGTCCAAGAGAGGAGCAAAGTGGGAACTGGGAGTTTATTGAGCCTCTGCTGAAGGGTCAGGAGGCACAGCCTGTTCCCTCAGGACAGGAGCTGCAGCCTCACACCCAGCACGTTCCCCGCGGTGCCTCGGGACCGTCCTTGGCTGACGGGAACCTCCCACGTTATCGTTTACAAGGAGGGAGGGGAAGGATTACAGGTGGAGTTTCAGGACCTGCTTGCAATGACCCTTCTTCCTGCCAGGCCAGGGAGTGCAGTGTCCTCCCAGCCCCATCCTGGGGCCTGGCTGATCTCCAGGAGGCCAGCAGACACCGGACACAGCAGGTCACCCGGGACGCCAGCCAAAGAGCAGGACAGATGTGTCAGAATCCGTACTTGGCTTGAGTCTGCCTTCTGCTCAGCTTGTTTTCAGACCATGTATTTTTCAGTTCCAGCTCCCTCTCCTTGGCCTGCAGAGATGGAGAGGATGCTGTTACTCTCTGTGTTTCAGTGACTCAGCAGCATTCCTGCCTCCTCTGGCCCCGCTCATGTGGATTAGGGAGCCCTTCAGCCAGAAGCCTCGTTACAGGGGTTTGCACAATCATCCTGACAGAGGCCTGCATTAATTGGGATGCACAGGCATTTCATTCATGCTGAAAAGCAGCTTCTCGTGGGGACAGGGGTTTGCACAATCATCCTGACAGAGGCCTGGATTAATTGAGATGCACAGGCATTTCATTCATGCTGAAAAGCAGCTTCTCGTGGGGACGGGCTCAGCAGCCAACCCCGGGCAGAATCCAGGACAGGATCCCAGGCCCTCAGAACATGCAGGAAGGGCAAAGCAAAGCTGAAAGCTCAGGACTGGGACTCCCTCAGGGCCAGGAGTCACCTCTGGCCCCACTGGCTCTCACCAGGGCTCAGGGGCTTCCCCTGGTCCCCAGCTCCAGCACCCCAGCCTTGTGTTGCCCTGCAGTTCTGCCTGGCTCAGCTCACACACCACAGAGAGACCACTCACCTGATGGATCAGGTATGTGATCTGGTGTTTTCTCCTCTGCTGTCCTGTGGGCTGATCTCCTTTTTTCTGGAAAGCAGAAAGAGATGAAGTGTTCAGCCTGCAGTGGTGCTTCCCTGGACAGCAAACCAAGACAAGGGCCTGCACACAGCCACCCCAAGCAGCATTTGTTCCCTATTAAACTGCAGATTCCTTTGGCTGAAGCACTTCCTGGCTGGCCCTCCCCAGCCACATGTGTGTTCTGAGGAACTCTACTGATCTCTCCCATGTCATTATTTACCCTCCCTGGTGACTGCCCAGCACCCAACACAGATCCAGATGGGTACTGAGAGAGGAGAGGCTCCAGCCACAGCCCTCAGCCTCCACCCACCTTGCTGAATGACTTCATGGTCTTCTCCTCTGTCAGGGATTTGGTCAGCCACTGCTGGGCCCCGCTCAGCTGGTCGTCACCTTTGATGTCCACAAAGTTGATCTCTTCCCTGCCACGATTCCTCTTGCCCTGCAGACGTTTGAACTGAAGGAAGAACAGAAGAGTTGCAATTACACCCAGCACTGACCTGACACAAGGCACAGCAAACAGTTTTCCAGCTGGGGTTTTGATCGTTTGGAGAATTTCAGCGTGCTGTACATGAGAGTATCTAAAACTACTTAGCATGAAGGTTATAATTTCATTTTCTTGTGTATAAAATAGCATTTACTGCTGCTTGCAGGCAGTGCTCATCCCCTGTGCTGGCACTGCTGAGACACCTTCAATCCTAGGGTCACTTTGGGGCCCCTCATGACAAGAAAGAGATTGAGGAGCTGGAGCATGTCCAGAGAAGCAAACAAAGCTGGGGAAGGGGCTGGAGCACCAGGGAAGGCTGAGGGGGCTCAGCCTGGAGAAAAGGAAGTTCAGGAGGACCTTCTGGCTCTGCACAACTCCCTGCCAGGAGGGGACAGCCAGTGAGCTCTGCTCCCAGGGAACAGGGACAGGACAAGAGAAAATGGCTTCAAGTTGTGTCAGGGGAAGATGAGGTTGGATATAGGGAAAATTCCTACACCCAGAGGGTTGTCCAGCCCTGGCAGAGGCTGCAGTGGTGAAGTCCCCACCCCCAGAAGGATTTAAAAGCCACATGGATGTGGCACTTGGGGACATGGTTTAGTGGTGGCCTTGGCAGTGCAGGCTGATGGTCTTGGAGGCCTTTTCCAAGCTCAACAATTGATTCTATTCTGTGAATAGCCACTCACTTATCAGGCCTGCAGACCCAGCTGGAGCAGGAGCCCACAGCACAGCACGAGGCCCCACAGAAGAACCACCCAGCCCAAACCCCTGGAAACCCAGGCTGTGCTGGGGGGTAGGAGTGTGGCTGCCAAGAGGCTCCTGTGTTCTGGCAGAGCTCAAAGCCAAATTCCACAGGGGGACAGACAATCAAGTGCCAACCGCTTCGTCGTCGATGAAGGAGGAGTCGGTGCTGGTCTCCTGGGGCGAGGCCTGGGCTGGTTCCACCTCGGGGTAGTACCCACTGCTGTAGTAATCCTGGCAAGGAAAAGGAAACCAGTTTGGCATGAGAGCAATCCTGCAGTGGCACCGAGACACAGAGTGCCCTGTGGGCTGATTCCATCAGAGGGACAAACCAACAAACGCTCTGAGGGGCTTCTCACAAGGGTCTGGAGTGATAGGACAGGGGAATGGCTTCCCACTGACCAAGAGCAGGGTTAGATGGGATATTGGGAAGGAATTGCTCCCTGTGAGGGGGGTGAGGCCCTGGCACAGGCGCCCAGAGAAGCTGTGGCTGCCTCATCCCTTGACGTGGTCAATGCCAGGTTGGACAGTGCTTGGAACAACTTCTGTCCAGCAAAGAACATCTGCAGCTGTCAAGCTGTAGGAATCCTCTTGTGCCCAGTGCTGTGGTTCCTTGTGCTAGATAGCTTGGGGTGCATTCCCTGCCCCATGTCCCAGGTATCTCACACAGGCTGCATTCCCTGCCCTGTGTCCCAGGTATCTAATAAAGGCTGGATTCCCTTCTCTGTGTCCCAGGCACCTCACAAAGGCTGGATTCCATGCCCAGGTATCTCACACAGGCTGGATTACCTGCCCCATACCCCAGATATCTCACACAGGCTGCATTCCCTGTGTGAGGGAATGCCCAGGCACCTCACACAGGCTGCACTCCCAGCAGCAGCCAGTCACCAACTCGAGCCACTCACTCAAGCACCTGCTCAGAACCCCTCCCTACCCCTGGCCAGCAAACCCACCTGGTAGTAGCCCCTGTCCCACATCCCATGTATCTCACACAGGCTGGATTTCCTGCCCTGTGTCCCAGGCACCTCACACAGGCTGCACTCCCAGCAGCAGCCAGTCACCAACTCCAGCCACTCACTCAAGCACCTGCTCAGAGCCCCTCCCTACCCCTGGCCAGCAAACCCACCTGGTAGTAGCCCCCAGGCTCGCCGTAGGCGGGGGGGAACTGCCCATAGGGCTGGCTGCTGTAGTCCTCCCCAGCTTTGGGTGCCCAGCTGTGCTGAACTCCACTGGAGCCCACGCCTGTCTTGAACTCCAGAGGGGCGTTAGCGGCCGCGTCCTGGAACTGCGGCTCCGGCTCCGTCCCGGGAGGAGGGTCCTCCGACCCCGCCGTGCCCGGGTACAGGTAGGGCTCGGTGCCCACGGCGCTGGGCTCGCTCCTGTCGGACAAGGAGAAGTAGTTCTCTGGCTGCACCTCCTCGTCGCTGTCCTCCTCCTCCTGGGTGATCTGCTTGGTTACCTGCAGCGCCGCGCTCTTGGCCGCGGCTTTGATGGCCGACGGGGACGGAGTTGTGGGCACGGCCGGCTTGGGAACGGGTTTGGATTTGGAGGAAGAGCTCGGGGTCTTGGCAGGCTTGGAGTCAGAGGAGTTTTCTCCTGCTTTCCTCGAGAAGGAGTAGGGCAGGAGTAAGCGATTGGTCTCTTTCACTGTCATGTTTTTGGGCTCAGGAAGCAAAGCGGACAAGCCGGAGCCTTCGCTGCGTCCCTGGTGATTTCCACGCAGGACAAATGGATCACAGAAAGAAAAGAGGGAGATTATTCACTTTTCATGACTTCCTCACAATTATCCCCCCAGTTCTAACACTTCTGGTGATTTCCACGCAGGACAAATGGATCACAGAAAGAAAAGAGGGAGATTATTCACTTTTCATGACTTCCTCACAATTATCCCCCCAGTTCTAACACTTCTGGTGATTTCCACGCAGGACAAATGGATCACAGAAAGAAAAGAGGGAGATTATTCACTTTTCATGACTTCCTCACAATTATCCCCCCAGTTCTAACACTTCTGGTGATTTCCACGCAGGACAAATGGATCACAGAAAGAAAAGAGGGAGATTATTCACTTTTCATGACTTCCTCACAATTATCCCCCCAGTTCTAACACTTCTGGTGATTTCCACGCAGGACAAATGGATCACAGAAAGAAAAGAGGGAGATTATTCACTTTTCATGACTTCCTCACAATTATCCCCCCAGTTCTAACACTTCTGGTGATTTCCACGCAGGACAAATGGATCACAGAAAGAAAAGAGGGAGATTATTCACTTTTCATGACTTCCTCACAATTATCCCCCCAGTTCTAACACTTCTGGTGATTTCCACGCAGGACAAATGGATCACAGAAAGAAAAGAGGGAGATTATTCACTTTTCATGACTTCCTGCCAATTATCCCCCCAGTT